TAAAAGATTTGTGTCGATTGAAGAGTGTAAATTGTTTGGAATAAAGTCTCATGATTGTCATGTTTTGATGACACCTATGATTCCTATCGCAATTCGTAGAATTTTACAAGATGACGTCCGACATTCTATCACTAATCATTGTTTGTTTTTTAACAACATTCACTCAAAGGTTGTTGATGTAGAAGATTTGGATCAATGGGAGAAAGACATTTATGTTACACTTTGTGAACTAGAGATGCACTTTCCACCCTCATTTTTTGATATAATGGTTCACTTGATATCTCATATCGTACAAGAGATTAAGGCTTGTGGTCTTGTATTCTTACGGTACATTTACCTTTTTGAAAGATATATGGGGTATCCTAAAAGGTTACGTAAGAAACCATAATCGGCCTGAGGGTAGTATTGTTGAAGGGTATACTTCTGAAGAGGTTACTGAATTTTGCAAAGGTAATCCTATTAATAATATATTACAATTCCGATAATTTATAATATATTATATATAATATACTAATTTATTTTTTATAGGCTACATGAAAGTTGTCGAAAGTGTTGGTATTCCTAAAAGTCGTCATTCGGGTCAACTTGAAGGTAAGGGAGGAGTCGGTTTGAAAATAACCAAGCCAACTTATAAAGAGTTACAAGTTGCACAATTGGTGGTCTTAAAGCACATGAAATGTCTTACTCTATACATTTATAAACACATGGACATGTTAAAGTCAAAATACCTAGGCAAGGAACAAATGTGGTACATAAACAATCATAACAAAGAGTTTTTTAGGCGACTGAAAAAGAAGGTAGTAGAAACTAATTTTGATGAAACTGTGAAAAGGTTGGGACATGGGCCAGATTGTAGGGTTAAATCTTATCAAGCATATGACATTACGGTTATACGTTTTATACCAAAGATCGAGATCAAAAAAGTACAATGCAGAATAGTAGAGTTACAATGATAGCATCAACAATCGAATTCGACAAACGGGATCATGATACTTTGATAAGAATAGCCAAAGATTCTTATTATGGTGTTATAAAAAAATTTGGGAGTTAAACTATTATGACTTTGTTATTCATGTGTTCAAATGTAAATGGGTGAATAACCGTACATGTGTTCAAGTTGACAATGATGCTTTTACACTTGTCGACCTTACAACTATTGGCTATGCATCTGAACCATTCGTTCTCGCAAAGCATGTCACACAAGCTTTCTATATCAAAGACCCGAGCAAACAAAAAGAGCACATCATCTTACAAGGTAAACGACGTAATATTGGTGTTGATAATGTTGTTGACGAGGAAGAATACGACCAGTTTGATGATCTAGCACCATTTTCGGTTGGTATTGAACTTGAAAATTATGATAATGTTGAACACACAACATTCGTACGATCTAAGGTCGAAGGGACATATGTTGATTAAGTGGATGATTAGTTTTTTCTTTTTGCATTTGTTACATGGTTTTTGTATCAAATACTATCCATTGATAGAGTAATTATAATTGTACTTATCTTTTGATAATTATGATGTTTCTATAGTAATATCCATTCATTATAATTGTCAAATTAAATTATAGTAGTTGTTTTAAGTGAAAATAATAAATAACATTTGTGGTTTGTATTGAATAACAGTAAATATTAGTTCTTCAGTTAACAAAACAAACCATTGCACATTGAAAGAAATGTAATGTACTTATATAATGGAAAATAACATTAAAAAAATGAAGAAACCGCCTCATAAAAAAAACTCACCATAAAATTTTACTTATTTTTATTGTGATGAAATTCAAAAGTAAATATTTATTTTTTCTAATGGAAACCGCACTCATAAAAAACAGAAAAAACATCAAAAAAAATGAAGAAACCGCCTCATTAAAAAAAGAAAAAAACACCATAAAATTTTACTTATTTTTATTGTGATGAAATTCAAAATTAAATGTTTATTTTTTCTAATGGAAACCGCACCATAAATCAAGTAGCATCGAATCTCTCAGAAACCGCCTCAAAAAATATGTTGAATAACATCAAAAAATCTGTCAATTGGAACCACCCCAAAAAAGACCTAAACCGCCTGAAAACCCCTCTTTCCCATTAAAAATTTCATTTTTTTGCCTTCTAAATTTTCATTGCGCGCCAGCTATCTCCAATGCAAACCTCCATAGCAAACCCTTTTCTCTATAAAACCTCCATAGCAAACGCCCGACGCTCCATCGTCACGTCGACGGAAGTGGTAGCCGACAAGATCGACGCTACTCCTCCATAGCTAACTCTGCCGTTCCCGTCGTCTAAATCGTTCCCCCAAGTCTCGACGTCAACACATTGTCATTTATTGATTTTTTGTTGTCTCGAGTAAGATATATATTATATTGATTTGTTGTAAAAAAGTGTTATTACCTTACAAGTTTAGAATCGTTAGAATATAAACATCTTTGTCTTTACAATAGAGTTTAGTATATACTGATTTGTTGTTGTTAAAAAGTGTTATTATAGAATCTTACTGTCTCCCGTCGTATTTATTGCATTTGTAACATATATGGGGTCTACCCATTTCATTGGATCAATTACTTTTCAGTGTATTCTGTTGGATAGTGGTTTTGTTAATTTCTTGTAATATACCATTGTATGTTATTTTGTTTAATAAATGTAATATTTGACCCCACATATATGAAGTCTACTAATTGTATTACATCGATCACTTTGCAGTTCATTATGTTGGAATATGGTTTTGTTTTCTTATAATATACAATTGTATTGGATTATGGTTTGTGTCGTTATGTCGGTCTACTGTTTTTCATGGATGAAATTATTTTTAATTTTCACAATGTTGTAAACATATAAAAATGGCAAGAAAAAAAGGTCAACACTGTGTTGCTTCATTTAAATCAAAGATTCCTCTAGAAAAGTATCGTGTTAAGTTCATTGAAAATAATATTCCAAAAGGTGGCATGTCAACTAAATTTATGTCTTGGTATGACATAATGGTTCAACATAGGTTTCCGATCGATGTAGATACTCGTAAACTTGACAAAAAATAATTTAAAGACTTATGGTCGGAAGCCAACGTATGTATATGTTAATTTATTACAAATATGAATAATATTTTTATTAATTATTGTGGTTAACCTTTTTTGTTTTAAAATTGTAGAGCCAGTGAAACACCGAGTCTGATGAACACGAAAAATATATGAGAAAAAGAGCGTTGAAATTTTTTAAATCAGTGCTAGTTTCAAAAGTTTTAATTAAAGGAGTAAATGCTTGTGAGAAATATATTTTTATGGATCCGGATGTGTGTGATAAATTTGTTGCATATAAAACTACCCTGAGTTTTTGGTGTGTTTTAATTGTTTATTTATTTATTATTATTGATAATATTAGTTGTATGTTTACAATTAATTAATAACACTAGACGAACTCCCGTTTGTTCAGCGGCACAGGTTAAAAATATATTGTTAGAATATAGTTTTCAAACACTTTTTAGTTAATTCAATTCATCAGTTTAGGTTCTTTTATTATTATTATTATTATATTTAATGTTTTCCTGTTAACTATGTTAAAAAAATATTTATTGAATTTTTTTTATACATTATTTGATAATTTACTTTAGGTTTTAAAATTTATACTAAATTTTTGAGCTTATTTGATATATTAATGTATGTTATTTATTTGACTATATATTGAAGTTAACAAATTAAATATATCATATTGATAAGTCACAAATTCTTCCATTTATGATAATGTTTACAACTAAAAGCATATTTAAGTTAATAAATTAAGTATATTGTATGGAAATATGAAAAGTTGGGAGTTTCAAATGAATGTGGTGAAAGAAAAAAAATGTTTTCTTTATAATATAGTATGATTTGTTGATGTGTGCGTAGGCAAAAAAATGCAAAAAGCTAGAAAAAACAATGCTAAAATGAAAATCATTACTTGCTTAGGACGAAGTGAACGACGAGGTCTAAAAAAAGACTAATTATATGGCCTCAACTCGTATCAAGATATGAGTTTCTGGACCGTATACAAAATGAACGGTCTAAGTTGTATTTAATGGTTTTTGTAACAAAAAAAAGGAACAAATACCTACGGTCTTCCAAAATATACAATTGAAGATTTCTATTTTTTTAAGTAAATAATATGTTATTTAACTAATGACTATTTTCATTTTTTGGTAAATTAATGTTAATATATATTTTTTTTCATAGGAAAGAGAACAGAAAAATATGATAGCTGATAGGAGTTATTATCAAAATAAGGAAGACCCGTTACTTAGACTTTTAGGACCCGAGCACGGGGGGTGATCACGGACAAAATCCAATATTATTGGGCGTACTTAGGATGTGGATGGATTGTTTAAGAATGTGGAAAATAGTCGAAGTTCGATACCACAGGTGAATACAAGCCCAACATTTCATGAATCTAGTGGTGCATCTGGTGGACGGTTGATAGAATATCCACCTGTTGAGGTAATATATTTATAGTTTATACATAAGAATGATATATATATATATATATATATATATATATATATATATATATATATATATATATATATATTAAGTTATGTTTTTTATATTATATTTAAAAGAAATGTTGTATGATTTGTAGGTGTAATTTGTTATTAAAAGTAGCCGACACCCAGCTGAAAGTAGCTTCTAGTTTTGCATGGCCAACCTAAGAAACGGTTATACATTTGAAACCGATAAATGAAGGTTGTGTTAAAGTGTAAGTTGGTGAGATTATAAAAACATATGGGGACTTGCCTAAGCATACCGTAACTCGAACAGATGAAGTTGAATTTGTTAAACATCTTCTTCATACACTAGTTCAATGGCCGAGATGTGCAATAGAGTTCTATTTTTATTTAAATACAACAATATATTTTAGTATATTTTTAATTAAATATTACAATATATTTTAGCTTGCAAACAAAACAACAAGCATGTCAAATAGTGGCATGGGAATGGGCTCGAATCGTACATCACCATAGATACACATTTTGAGAACATGACCACTTCAGTTTATCATCCACAGGTAGTCGACTTCGACTGGTTCACTCTTTTATTTTTTTAATTTAGTTTGATTTTGTTAATTTTATAACAGTTGTTTGTTATTTTAGTTTGAGGAAACCTACATTTATTATCAGTATATGGAAACTAATGAACCTTTACGAGGTGGTTTAGTTGATATGGTTAGTCTTAAAAAACTTGTTTTTAAATTTATTATGTTTGATTTTAGATGTTTTATGCTTGTATATAATCATATATAAGTACTATTTTTTTTAGTTATTATCTATGAATCCACCACAAAATGATTAAAATGAACCCGAATCCGAATCCAAACCTGAATTTGAATCCGAATCCAAACCCAAACCCAAACCCGAGCCGTCTATAATTGAAGATCCTAAAGTGTATACATCTTTGAGCAAAATACAACAAAGAAGTCCTAAATCCAACATGTTGCTTTTCAAGTAGCAGAAATGTTTGGGGTTACACATGTCATTAATATTCTTCAGCCCAAAGGAATGTATCCATAGGGTTGACTTGGCATCCCATATAGTGAGGTGTTACAACTATTTTTAAGGGATTGGATTGATTTTAGCGTTATAAATTGGTTTACGATGTAAGTTATTATATTTTTAATATGGTATAGTAACATTTTAGATATATTACTAATAGGGTTATTGACATAGAAGCACAACGATGTTTGTCGTTTGGTTTTAAAACGTCCTTCAATTAATTTTCGTACCTCTGACCCCACTAAAGTGACAAATTACTTGCCAAATTAAAGTTTTCTCCATTTTTTTCCCGGTTACCCGGTTGGTCAACGAAAGTTAAAAGTGCTGTGGTCTGTGATATTCAGCTGGTGTCCAGTCAGCCTATTATATCACCTTCGTAAGGATTCAATAAAACAACATTCACTATTTCCTTACCCTCCGACAAACAATAACCCTTTTGACCATGTCTTCTTCCTCCGAATCGTATAACACCCTCGCCATTTACCGGATTGAAGTGAATCCTCCCTGCTTGTGCCGCGATTAGCCTGCATCAAAGCTCAAAGAAGCTTGGAAGCCTAACAACTCAGGTGGTCGCTTCTACAATTGTGCAAAGTCAATGATAAGCCTTCGTTACAATCAGTAAGTTTTAAACCTAAAGTTTTGATTTTTGTACTGCAAACCCCCTATTTTGATCGACAAAAAAAACCCCATTTACGATGAGAAAACCCTTAATTTTGAACAGTGAAACCCTTAATCTGTTGTGTGACCTTTTTTTTGTAGATATCCAATAACAGTTGCAACTTCTTCTAGTGGCTTGACCCAACATTACCAAAACACTACAATGATATGTTATGGAACATGAAACTTAGGATCGACGACCTTTTGGTTAGGAATGGTCAAGTTGTTGAGCTGCAGAAGAAGGTGGAGAAGCACAAGCTGCTTAGGAAAGCTGAGAAGGAACTTGCTGAAGCTAGGATCCAAGAACTACTCATTGAGATTGAAAGGTTGAATAAGATGTTAAAAAAAGGTTGTTTTGATTGCTCCGGTCTACTTGTTGTTTGTGGTCATGTACTTTGAGCTGTAGTTGTTGGTGTATGATGTTGGGTCATGGTGTATATGCACTTTTTGAAATAGGGTGGATATGGGGATGTTCTTTTAGGATGGTCTTTTGGGTTATTAGATATTTGGAATATGGTATTTTGGGATGATTAGATAGTTGGAAATCAAGTTAAAGCTCTTGTAAGTGGTGCAGGGTGTATAGTGTTGTTTGATGGTGTAGTGGTGGTATATGAAATGATGATCCTTTTGAAAATTCAGTATAGGCAATGTACTTTAGCCCCATTACGTATGGTCATGTTACACCTTTTGTATGGACTAATTTTATAATAGAAAGCATGGATTCTATTCTATTTTAACCGTTCTTTATGGTTTTCTTGATAGTATACTGCATGAATTGTTATAGTGAATGAATTTTTATATAACATCATGCATGAGTTATTATAAGGTCCACAAACAAATTCCAATAAATAGCATGGTCCACATAACAATTCCAGGAGGGATAAGAAACAAGGGACCATTTAATGCATAAAAAAGACACAAAGGACACTGGATCCCACAAGATAATATATTAATAACCAAAGTGAGTGCCATACATTACATAACAATTCTGAAATAGAATATTTAAAAGAAAACATCCCAACATGTTTTTAATACATAATAAAAGAAACATCCCATGCAGTTCCCATGCAAAAACTACATTAAGTTGACTGGTTTTTCTGAAGTGCTACCCTCTCCATCCTTTCCTATAACTTGGGTTGCCAATTTTTTCTTGATGATCCTTTCACTATTTTTCATCCTCTTAAACCGGGGAATTACAACATTACCCCTCTCCCTTGTCACTTGTGTAGTCCCACTTTCCCTAGTACCTTGTCTATCCTCACATTCCATTCCTATCCTACTTCCACTCGCCTCTTCTGCAGTCTTTTTCTTCACATTTTCACCCTATTAAATGAACCATAATTAATAACAAATAAAAATAATAATAAATAAGAGTTTGTATATACCTTTGTTGTCTTAGTCCTCTTAACCCTATTACCATGTGTATATCCACCATCCATTCCTGTCCTACTACCAGTTGCGACTTTTGCATTCCTTTTCTTCACATTTTCACCCTTATAAATAAAACATAATTAATAACAAATAAAAAATTAATAAATAAGAAATTGTATTTACCTTTGGTGCCTTAGTCGTGTTAACCCTAGTTGGTAACTTGTTTGGTCTTGACCTATCAACATTTGGGCATGTCTTCTTATTATGTCCTTCCACTTTGCACAAACTACATGATATCTTCTTACCCTTCTTAGAAACTCTATGCTTTCCACTCTTTTCACTCACATCTCTAACTCTTTTAGTATTTGGCTTACCAGGCATCCTTCTATTTTTGGGGGGTAGAGTTGGAATGTAATTAGTTTTAGGCCACATCTTGCTTCCATTCATTAGACAAATTTTGTACTGGTAGGGTATTCATATACATTGCTCTACAAAAATAAGGACCCGTATATTTCTCAACATCTTTATTGAGGTACCTAATGGCAGCCACGGAATGAACACACCCATAACCATTAAGTTGCCACATCCTACATGAACATGTCCTCTTGTCTAAATCAACATCATATGCCTCACTTCCTGACCTAGTCTCAAACTGGTTGAGTCCACTTGGCAATACCTCCCAAAACCTTTGATTAATCTTTAACTCACTCAACCTCAGCCTTATTTTAGGTGAAACATCACTTGACCATCCATTAACTTTTTGCAGTGAACAACTTGTTCATCATATACATTCTCAATTCTTCAAGCATTGTGATGATAGGTTTCTTCCTGGCTTAAACTATGACCGCATTGAAACTTTCACATCCTCCATTCTCCATACTAGAACAACATCTACCAACTTGATATTAAGCTCTTGACCATGTTCTAGGGTCCTTCTCTATCAACTAGTTACTTGCCTCGAGACTCATAAGCTCAACATCCTTCATTATTTCCTTGAAAGATTGTTCTGTTGTTGCATTACATGAAGACTAAAACTTGTTAACAAACTGTTCCCTTGGAACTTTTTATAGAAGTTGGCCACAATGTGCCTTGCACATTGCCTATGCTCAATTAGTGGTAACAATTCCTTGACAGCTTCCATAAGACCCTATACCAACATACAAGTAGTTAGAAATGAATTGGGTAATATACTTTGTGAAAGAGAAACAATAAAAAGTTTTGCTTACTTTGTATTGGTTTGACATAAGAGTTAAACCTTATCCCATACCGAGATCGAGATCATCACTTATTCACTTAACAATGATATAAACCATTTCCAGTTTTCCTTGTTTTCAATACATACCACAACCAGGCAATTGGGTATATTTGGTCCTTAGCATCTCTCCCCACAGCACAAAGCAACTCACCAGTAACATAACCTTTCAAGAAGCAACCATCAATTCCAATCACCTTGTTGCATCCTTCTAACCACCTCTTCTTTACACCATCAAAACAAACATAAAACTTACTAAAGTGATTAGTTCCATTTGGCATTGTAAGAACATCCATGCTGAATATTGAACCACGGTTGGATCTTCTAATTTCCTCTCCATAAGACCAGAGTTTAGCATAATGTAGGGATGGAAATTCTCGACACGACCCGTGACACGACCCACAACACGACACAAAATAAATGGGTTTGGGTTGAGTTTTTCAACCCGCCAATCTGCCAACCCGTCAACCCGTTTATTAAATGGGTCATATATGAGTTTATTAAAAAATAAATAGGTTGACCCGTCAACCCTTTTATATGTTTAATAATATATATATATATATATATATATATATATATATATATATATATATTATTTTCACATGTATTTTTGTATAAAGTATCAATATTTAATATGTATTATATAATAAGTATTATATATGTTTGTATTAATGTTTAGTTTGAACATGTTTCTATGAATGTTTTTCATTTTCATTTGGATGTTTAAGACTTAGGTAGTTAAGTGTCTAAAATTTGGATATGTTTGCATCAACCATCAAGAATTTATTCATGTTTAATTGTCAATTTTATTTATGGAATCTGACCCACGAACCAAAATATGACCCACGAACCCGCCAACCTATGAACCCATATAATTAAGAGGGTTGATGGGTCATACATGGGTTTATGTTCCAAACCCGCCAACCCATGACCTATATATTCAAATGGGTCGTGTTTGGGTTGACATGTTTTGACCCGCCAACTCGCGAAACGCCAACCCGAACAAGACACGATTGCTAGGTCTAGTATAATTCTCAATAAGGGTACCTTCAATAATATTCATAGCATACTGTTTGGCCCTTCTACATTGGCTAATACTGACTTCAATACCAAATTTCTGGATGGCCTCCAATCATAGTTGCCTAATTGTTAGTTTTTGTCTATTCAAAATCTCCTTGGTGTAGTGGCTACTAATCCATCTATAATTGACAATTGAACCCAATTTGTAGTTCCTAACACATTGATGCTCACTTTTTAAAGATTTAATTTGAAAATTACGTTCTGTACTCATCCAACTTGCCCATAACCTAAAAGTACAAACACCTTTACAACACAATACTAGAAGCCTTTTACTGTCATTCTTTTCGAACCATAGTTGATACCCATTTTTAACAGCATAATTACATAACATGCTCTTAAATTGTTTTGGATCCTCAAATCTCATGCCTAAAATTGGTTCTTTCTTCTTCAAGTGTACATGAGGATTAAAGATAGGATGTTCCTCAAGTACATCAATGTCCAATTCCTCACTATTACCTATCTATTCAATCTTTTTCTCTTCTCCACCTTTCGGGCATAACTTGTTAAGAAACTCATCATCCTTAGTCTTGTTTGGTGAGGTACAATATTCCCCTATTATCTCATCATCCAAACCAGCATCACACATATAGTTTGGTCCAGGATTGGGGATTCCTTGTGCAGTTTCTTTGTCACCCCCTGGATCACTGAACCACTTTCATTATGACATCCCCAATTTCACGGCTAGAAAAGAACGATTTTTTTATGCTTTGTTTTTAAAATCAGAGTAATCTTTTAAAAGAAATAGTTGCGGAATTTGTTCCCAAAACAAAATATGATAAGAATTTATCAAAGCATTTCTTTAAAGAAATGTATTCTCATTATATAACAAAATCTTGGGATATCATGTTCAATACAGACCAAAAGCATAAATAGAACAATATAGACCTTACAACAGTTATTCATAACTACTAGCCTATAATCCAAAATCTCTCGTTATGTCAGCCAACTTATGCTCTCGTACCATAACATGTAATACAAAGAAAACTGAAAGGGTCAGGCTTGGGAGCCCGGTGAGCATATAGGGTTTTCAACCCACAATAATATAATTATTATATTCACTTATCAAACAATCAATCCAATTACCCACACCCATTATCTCCCTTTATTTATTAAAGATTTATCCTAAGAACCGATTTCCCTTCTCCCATTCATTCCTAAGGATTGCCCTAAGGAACTGGCACAAAGTCTAGTGCTGCCAAGGTTCTTAGATTACCTCTGGTGAATACGCAGTTCACAATAATTAATAAACACCTAGTTCAAGAACACCTAATGAACACTTAGTTCCAATATTACCCAATGAACACCTAGTTCACAAACACTTAATGAACACTTAGTTCAAATATCCCTGATGAACACTAAGTTCAAATATTTAATGGAAGCTTAGTTCTAATATCCATGGTGGACCCAATCACCTAAGGAACACCGAGTACGAAAGCTCTAAGTTCAAACAATGTAACATCCCGAAACTCAGGTAAATCTATTTAACCCTTCCCATTTGTCAAGTTGTCAAGATTAGTCCCTTAAGTGAGTTCTTGTAGCAAATGAGTACGCTGAGCGTACTGAGGCATACGCTGCGCGTACTCATGCGCTTAAGTTGGATGCGGACACTCCTGGGTACGCTGGGCGTAGCGGGCCTAGATGCAAACCCTAATATTTGGCTTGTGCACTATATAAGGGATGCTAAGGCTCATTTCTCAGCCTCCATATCGGAGAGTGAAACCCTAAGAGAGCCTTCCATCATCCTTAGCTTGAGTGTGAGTGTCTTGGAGCTAAAAGTGATTTGGTGTGTTAGTGAAAAAGAAGGAGAGGAGCTTGTGGAGGCTAGGGCTTGAAGTGCAAGTTTGGATCTGAGATCTTCAGAGGAAGGAGCTTCATCTAGAGGTATAAAGTTCAAAACTTTCCTCTTTATTTGGTTTGATGTTGCATGGACCATTCTAGGGTTAAAAGTCCCAAAGGTGGAGACTTTATGAGTGTAATGGACTCCATGGACCTAGATCTGTCCCATTTCAGTGATATTTGTGTTGTAGATCCAGAAAAATCCCAACTTGGTCGTTGTTATGGGGTCATGCTTGAGTTATGAGCTTTCTAGGGTTGGGAATGGAATGTTATGGGTGTTAGTGACTTGTCCAGCCATGCAAAGGCTTAAAGTCACCAACTTTATGGATTAAGAGGCTTAGGGGTGGTCAGATCTGAAAGTTGGACGTGTGTCTTAACTATTTGAGACCCCACTAGCTAGAGAGTCTGAAACTGGGAGTTACGCGAGGCGTAATCCCAGTACGTGCGGCGTAAGGGGTCGCGTACCCCGTTTCTGTGAGGACGCCGGGTACGCCCAACGTACATGTTTGATACGCGCAGCATAACTCGGAGAGTTGACTTTTGTTGACTTTTAGGGTTTGGTCAACTTTAGGGCCTTTGAGCCACGAGAGGGGTAAAATGGTATTTTACACTTCTGAGAGTACTAAGAGAGGGAACAATCTATCCTTGAGAGATGTATTGATTAAGAGTGTTTGTTTCATATGATTAGGCGGAGGCTAGATCAGATTTTTACAGAGTTCAAGATTACCGAGGTGAGTCTTCTCACTATACTTTACCTAGAGTGGTAATTAGAGTTATATGACAGAGTCTCTTGTATGCTATTTATGTGATTGTGATGCATTGCATTATTTCTATGTGATTTATGTTGTGTATGTTGCAGAGTTTACAGAGTTAGAACCGGAAGGTTCATAGAGTTAGGATCAGAGGGTCCACAGAGTTATAGCCTCGAGTGGCTAATATGTGTTATATGTGGTATTTTGGGGAACTCACTAAGCATTTATGCTTACAGTGTTGTGTTATGTGTTTCAGGTACCAGTGAGGATCGCAGGAAGGCGCCGACATGATCAGTACACACATGAGGAGTTTTTATGCATTATGATCTTGGGTTTTGTTTCTATGGTTGATATGTGATACAATGACAATTTTTACAATATTTATGAATGAAAGTATGTTTTAGAAAATGTAAAAATTGTTTGAAAATTTTGGGTGTTACAAATAATGTGATAATAAAGTA